GGGGTGTGCGTTGTGTGTGGGGTTGTGTGTGCTGTGGCTTTGTTGTGTGTTGAGGTTGTTCGTGCGATGTGAAGTGTGTGCGTGAGTGGGGTCGGTTGTGTGTGTGTGGGGTGTGTGTGTTTGGGGTTGTGTGTGTGTGGGGTTGTGTGTGGGGTGTGTGGGTGGGTGTGTGTAAGGGGTGTATGTGGGGTGTGTGTGTGGGGTGTGTGTGGGGTGTGTGTGTGTGGTGGGTGGGTGGGTGAGTGGGTGGAGTGTGGGTGGGTGGGTGAGTGGGTGGAGTGTGGGTGGGTGGGTGGAGGGTGGTGGGTGTGGGTTGGGTATGTGGTGCGTGCGTAGTATGTGTGGTGGCGTGTATGTGTGCATGTAGGTGTGTGTTGGTGTTTCATGCATGTGTGTGCTGCGCGTGTGTGCATTTGCGCGTGTGTGTGCATGTGCGCGTGTGTGCATGTGCGTCTGGTGTGCAGGGATGTGTGTGTGTGTGTGTGGTGTTGTGTGTGTGTGTGTGTGTGTGTGTGTGTGTGTGTGTGATGTGTACTCACCTAAACTGTGGTTGCAGGGGTCGATTCAAGGTTCCTGGCCACCTCTTCACTGGTCGCCACTAGGTCCACTCTCTCCACTGCTCCATGAGGGTTTATCGTACCTCTTCTTAAAGCTATTGTATGATTACCTGCCTCCACTACTCACTTTCCAGAATATTCCACTTCTGACAAAAATCATGGACTGAAAATAAAGTACTTCCTAAACATCCCTGTGGCTCATCTGATTCTTCTACTTCCTATTGTGAACCCTTGTGTGTGTAGTGCGCGTGCGTGAGTGTGCAATATACTCACATATTTGGTGTTTGTTTTCAAGGGCTGTTCCTCAGCTCTGGGCCTCCTCTTGTCACTTAACAGATTCACTTTCTTAAGCCTCATGGGACCTGTGTGTGTTGGTGTTGTGTGTGTGTGTGTTGAAGTGCATATGTTGTTGAATGTGCATGTGTGTATGGCATGGTATGTTCATGCTGTGAGTGCATGGTGTGCATGTTATGTCAATGTGAGGATTTATGGGGGTGTGTGTATGCATGTGTTGAACGCGTGAGTGACTTGCACGTGTGTATGCACGTGTATGTATCTTTGAACGTGTATGCACGCACACGTGTGTGTAATGGCATTGTGTGTGTATGCATGTGTGTGAGTGTTAACGCTCGAATTTGCATGCACCGTGTGCATGTACGTGTATGCATTATGTGTATGCACTGAATGTGTGGATACATTTGTGTGAATGCACTGAATGTAAGCCACTGAATATATTGTATGCAGTGTTGCATGTGTATGCACGAGTACGCATGTATGGGTGTATGCATGTGTGTATGAATGCACATGTGTACTCACCAGATGGTGGTTGCATGTGTGTGTGTGTTTAGTGTGTTTGTGTGTGTGTGGTCCTGTGTGTGATTTGTGAGTGTGTGTGTGTGTGTGTGTGTGAGTGGCTTGCGTGTGTTGGTGTGTGATGGTGTGTGTGGTGTGTGTGGTGTGTGTGTGGTGTGTGTGGGGGTGTGTGTGGTGTGTTGTGTGCTGGTGTGTGTGTTGTCGTGTGTGGAGTGTGTGTGGTGTGTGGTGTGGTGTGTGTGTATATGTGTGTGTGTGTGTGTGTATGTGTGGTGTATGTGTGTGTATGTGATATGTGTGTATTGGGGTGTTGTGTGTGTTGGTAGTGTGTGTGTGTTGGGTGTGTGTGTGTGTGTTGGGTGATGTGTGTGGGGTGTTGTGTGAGGGTGTGTGTGTGTTGTTAGGGTGTGGGTGTGTGGGGTGTGTGTGGTGGGGGTCTGTGTGTGTGTGGGGTGTGTGTGGGTGTGTGTGCGTGTATGTGTGTGTGTGTGCGTGTGTGTGCATGATGTGTGTGTGCATGTATGGGGTGTGCATGTGTGTGTGTGTGTGTGTGTGTGCGTGTGCGTGTGTGTGTGCTTTGTGTGTGTGCGTGTGTGTGTGCGTGTGTGTGTGTGTGTGCGTGTGTGTGTGCGTGTGTGCGTGTGTGTGTGCGTGTGTGTATGTTTTGTGTGTGTGTGGTGTGTGTGTGGTGTGTGTGTGTGGTGTGTGTGTGTGTGTGTGTGTATGTGTGGTGTATTTTGTGTGTGTTGTGAATATGTGTGTGTGTTGTGTGTGTGTGTGTGTGTGTGTGTGTGTGTGTGTTTTGTGTGTGTGTTGTGTGTGTATGTGTGTTTTGGGGTGTGTGTTGTGTGTATGTTGTGTAGTGTGTATGTGTATTGTGTGTGTGTTTTGTGTGTATGTGTTTTGGTAGTGTGTGTGTACGTGTGTATGTGTGTGTGTATGGTGTGTGAATGGTGCGTGTGGTGCGTGTTTATGTGTGTATGTGTGCTGTGTGTGCATGTATGTGTTTTGTGCATGTATGTGTGTGTGCATGTTGTGCTTGTGTGTGGTGTGCGTGTGTGTGTGCGTTTGTGTGTGCGTGTGTGTGTGTGGTGGGGTGCGTGTGTTTTGCGTTGTGTGTGCGTGTGTGTGGCGTGTGTGTGCGTGTGTGCGCGTGTGGCGTGTGTGTGCGTGTGTGTGCGTGTGTGTTGCGTGTGTGTGTGCGTGTGTGCGTGTGTGTGTGCGTGTGTGTGTGCGTGTGTGTGGGGTGTGTGGGGCGTGTGTGTGCGTGTGTGGTGGTTGGTGGTTTTGTTTTGCGTTTTGTGTGCGTGGTTTTGTGTGTGCGTGTGTGTGTGCGTGTGTGTGTGGTGTGTGTCCACGGTGCGCGGTGTATGCGTGTTGTGAGTATGAATGTGTGTATGCGTGTGTGAGTATGAATGTGTATGCGTGTGTATGCATGTGTATGCATGTGTATGTGTGTGTATGCATGTGTATGTGTGTGTGTATGCGTGTGTATGCGTGTGGGTATGCATATGCGTGTGAGTATGCATATGCGTGTGTGTATGCGTGTGTATGCATGTGCACGTGTGTATGCATGTGTATGCATGTATGTACATGTATGCGTGTGCATGTGTGTATGCATATGTGTGCATGTGTATGCATGTTTGTGCATGTCTGTGAATGTGTGCATGTGTATATGCATATGTGCTTGGGTGCATGTATGCGTGTGTGTGCATGTGTGCATGCATATGTGCATGCATGTGTATACATGTAAGCCTGAGCATGCATGTGTATGCATGTATGTGCATGCATGTGTAAGCATGTGTATGCATGTGTATGCATGTATGTGCATGCATGTGCATGAATGTGTATGCATGTATGTGCATGCATGTGTATGCATGTGTATGCATGTGTATGCATGTATGTGCATGCATGTGCATGAATGTGTATGCATGTATGTGCATGCATGTGTGTATTTTTGTGTGCACATGTGCATACTAACCTAATTGTGGCGACAAGGGTCGAATCGTAGCTCCTGGCCGTGTGTGTGCATGCGTATGAATGTGCACTTGTGTGCGTGTGTGCACGTGCCTGTGTGCGTGCATGCGTGGGTGCGTACATGTGTGTGCATGTGTATATGTGCATGTGTGCACATACACATTTGTGAATGTGTTAATGTGCATGTATGCACATGTGTGTGCACGTGTGAATGTGTTAATGTGCATGTATGCACAAGTGTGCACGTGTGAATGTGCTAATGTGCATGTGTGTACATGCATGCATGTCTTCATTTATTTGTTCATGTGCATGTGTATGCATGTATTCATGTGTATACATGTATTCATGTGTATACATGTATTCATGTGTATGCATGTGTTCATGTGCATGTGTATGCATGTGTTCATGTGCATGTTTGTTCATGTGTATGCATATATGTTTGTATGTGTATATAGTATTCACAGTATCTTTGTCTGAATGTGTGTGTACACTGTATATGATGTGTGTATGCTATATACATGAATGCATGTATGTATATATATATGAATGTATGTATGACTGCATATATGCATGAATGTATGTATATGCATGAATGTTTATGTATTAATGTGTAATGGCTAATATCTGAATGAGTGTGTTTACAGTATGTGCCTGTATATGTATAGTGTTTATATATGGTTATAAATGTATGATGTGTGTATATATGGATCTATACATGCATGTTGCATGTCTTTACATGTATGGTGTGTATATGTGTGTGTATGTATGTGTAGAGGGAGGGGGTGAGGGAGGGGAAGGGGGGTGACAGAATGTAAACAAGACAGTTGGCAGCACCCACCACACACACAACTGAGTCTATCCAGTGGTCAGCAGGCCACACCTGGGCCAGGCCAGCTCACCTGCCACGTGTGGAGCCACACCTGCCCACCAGTCCACACCTGCCAGGTAAACCAGCAGGCCTGGCAGCCCCCCCTTTCCTGTCAACTTGGCAGGTCCCTTTTCCAACACATCCAGAGGCCACCCCCCCCACCACCACCCCTCCCCCCCTTCCACTCGCTGTATTCCCAGCTTTAACCACTTTGTTCACTCGAAATCATTCACCGGATCGTCTGGGGATGTGCTCACTGCGTTCGGAAGTCATTTGCAGCCTCCGAAGTCCAGACATCTCCGGGAATTACTTTCAGATATGAAAATCAATGGCCCACTGCCAAACATAAACAGAGCCGAGGCAGCCCAACACACCTCATCTCAGACTCTCACATCACTGCACATCTCCACAACACACTCGCACTGCACTTTTCTCACAGGTTTTCACCCAAAATTCACTGTCACTGGTCGGTAAATAGGCGTAAAAGCGAAATTCCACTGTGATATTGTCCGCTGGGGCTTGATAGATGGCAGCACTGCGCAATTTCCACTTTTTAACACCGAGCTTATTTCTCTCGTTCTCCACTGTTATTTTCACTCATTTCATCGGGGTTACCACTGGTATTCCTCGCAGAATCGATAAATCACAGGCGAGAGGCACTTTTCGATCACTGGGGAGGCGTAAAAGGTCGAAATATTGAGCGAGAGGTGTGTTGTTTCAGTCTGACAAGCAATTATTTACTAAGGGACTCCTATTTATCTTACAATTACAGCGCAGCCACTTACCTGGTGGTCACTTCTCCCGCGGGGCAGCACGCACGGCATCTCTCTACACCCTAAAACACTGCCCAACAACCGTAAAACCGCCGCACAAGAGACTAAAATTACGTATAAATGTACATATACGGCTTGGCGCCATTGTGGTGGGAAAAAATAAACGTCTCTCTGGGTCACGTGACCTGGACGAGAAACAGCGAGATCCCGCGAGGCGACGCGAGATTACACACAACCAAACCTTTATTAAGTACATTTAAATGTTTAAAATCATCCATATCTTATTCATTTGCCGTATTTCGGTCGCCTGCTGTCTTTTTCTATATTCCTCGCCTGTAATTTAGGTTTATGTTAGTCGCTTAAATTTGAAATTATTAATTAATCATGGGGAAAAATAGTTGTTGCTGGAACTACTCTGTACAATTCAGAAATTGGAATGGTATCGACATTGCAGTCATTAACATTTTCTTGACATTCATTAATTATGGGTACATAATGAATTAATTAATTTGTGAGGGTTGGATATCCCCGTCGCTCTATAAGTGTGTTTAATGCACTCTTTAACAAAAAAAAAAAGTGTAATGCAGATTTAAAGGGCCGTAAGTTAGGTGAGCGGCGTTTAATTGATTAGTTTGTTAAGTATGGTAATGAGGGTTGGTGAGAGGAAGCATGGTAGAGGCAGGAGGATGGTTATAGTGTCATGTAGAGCGAAGAATGATGGAGGAAGTAGCATCACTATGGAATGTTTTACTTCTACACAACTGTCATACCTCCAGCTGATTGTCTACCAACCCGCTGCCCTCAAAGATTTTTTTTTAATATCATCTCTGCCGCTCCGTTGATGCGACGCGCGACGCTCGACAGTCACTCATGTTTTAGCGACGTTGTAGAGTAACTTGTAGGAGGAGAGGAAGTGGAGGAGGAAGATGAAGAGGAAGAGAAGAGTTTGGAGTGAGCGAAACATTGTGGGAAGGAGACGAGAGCAGTGAAATATCCAGCGCTTCTCGCTCACTAGTAAACAAACCCACGAAATGGCGGCGGAGACGGTGAGTGCCGCCCACACTCTCTTATTTCCATTAATTACACCCTTCATACCCTCTCCCGCCCACCATCCATGGCGCCCACGGCCGCCCATAGCCTCCTGTCCTCCCCATGGTGCCTCTAGGAACACCACTAGTGCCACCATGGAGAGTAAACCCGGCCAGAGTGATGAGGGTTCATCTGGACTTGTACTCTGGGTGTGCTTGACCTCATCACAAGTGTCAACTTGTGTCAAGTAAATTATATTTGTCATTAATGTTTTGATACAACAATTGACACTTTTTCTTAATTATGTGTGAAATATTACCATCCTAGATGGTGATATTTATGGGGTTATATCATGTATATAGCTCTTAATATGGAAATAAGTCACTTGGACTTCTTTTAGGTTATCGTAGGTATTTTACACATGTTACTATGTATGATAATTGTACTTACATGTACCTGTGCCTAAATAAGCCTACTTACGTAGCGGCCTCGGTCCTCGGCTCACACACGGAGGTACCGGGGTTCGATCTTCAGACGAGGGGAAACGTTGAACATGTTCTGTACACGTGTTGACCTTTTTCACTTAGCATCGTCTGGCAGATGATTTAAAGACCCCAGTGGAAATAATCCAGTCTGATAAGTTTATTTAGGCACAGATACATATAAGTACAGTTATCATAGTATAAATTAACTAGGATAACCCCAAAAAAGTCAGTGACATTTCCATTGGGGTCCTGACTGTTGCCTTGGATTACTGACCTTCGGCGTTAATAAAGCAAGTAAAATATTCTTCATATTGGCAGTAAAGAAAATTAATTTGAACATAATACTGTTATGTAAGCCCCTCACACCTGTGCCCGCAAGACTAATTTTTTTTAAATAGAAACTCTGACCTATGCCAGGCAGGTCAATCTCAATCATTTCTCATCATGCATCTGTTTGACACTTTTGAAACAGTATTCCAATCAAAGGATGCCTTGATGCTAGTGAGGAAGTTTTTGTAATTGCTTTCCTGCCACCTGCCACCTTTATGGATTGAAGCTACATATATTACTTATGCTCTAGAGCTTATGAAGTGCAATACTATATAGTGTTTCCATATTATATTTTGGGCTTATATTTTTTAATGAATGCAGAGTCCAAGTGCAAGGGCATACTCTCACTGACTTCCAGTGATGTTAGTTTTATATAAGAAATGTTGGCAGTTTGTGTTGATAAGTATATGGTTGTAATATACTATGTACAACTCCCAAGTTACAGTAGTAAACTTTCTTCTCCCATACACCACACACATCTCACCTTTAGTTACCTGTTTGCAAGTGCTCATGCCTCCCTCTGTGTAGCTTGTGGCATGCAGTTGACTGGAACACATTTAAATAGTTTGTCCACAACTTAGGCCTTTTCACCATCATAATTTTTGTAATTACTAGGGGTGCCTGTAAGGACCTTGAAACTTTTAAGACTATGTTGACATTGATTTTTAATTGATACTTGTTATTTTAACTTGGTGTGACAGTATTTATGTTCGGCATTTTACTTATGTTAGTCTTTTTTTTTTCATATATAATTTTATCTGTTTTTATTTTGTGGGGGTTATATATGCTATATATATTGTATTTTTTTTTTTTGCTGAGTGACCTACACAGTACAAAGCACTCTACATATTACTACTACTACCTTGCAGGATAACCTAAAGATACTGGAAGCCTGCACAGCTGCTGAGAACTTCACTAAATTGTACTATGAATTTGTAGACAAGGTAAGAATATTATTGTTCAAACCATGTACGATACTTGTACTTATGTGAACCTCTACCTAAATAAACTTAACTGAATCCACTATTATAGTTAAGTTTTTGAAAACTTACACTGTAATACTGTACAGTACAGTATTTTTTCTTATTAATCAAGCTATATTATTACTATTATATTTAGTAGGATGTGCTAAACTCATAAGGGTCATACAATGCCTAGTAGAGTGGAAGGAAATTCGATTCAATCCAGGGAAATGAAGGATAATTCAAATTCTTTGGATTAAGAGCCCTCATTGGCATGAAGGCACCTCCCTTCAAGAGACATCAGTCTACAGCTCTTATACAGCACCTGATGAATGGGAAGGTAATGATCCAAGGAACTGGATCTACACTACCCCTACCTTGGATCATACCTTCTCATTTCTCAGGTGCTGTATAACCGTAAGGGGTTCAGAGTTTCCCGTTACATATAATAGCTTCGGTTCTTTTCTGTTTTTCCTGGGAAGTCACCTTAAAAAAGATAGGTTTTTCTGTGTCGCTCACCATTTCTTAATTTATTTTACCTAATGTATGTTAAATATAAATTTTATTTTTTTATCAACAAAAAGCAGAGCCTATTTCAAATTATATAATTTTGCTTCATTGAAAAATAGCATATCTTCCACTCAAGGGAGGTACTTCAGTGCTAGTGAGGGATTTTTGATCCAAGGAATTGGATCTATCCTTCCCTTCCCTGGATTGACCCTTTTTCACTCCATTCCCCAGGTGCTTACGACTCTTACAAGTTTAGTGTTTACCAATGATAATCTTTGATCTCTGATGTTACATCCTGACCATTGGTGCTGTTTACCTGGAGTTTACCTGGAGAGAGTTTCGGGGGTCAACGCCCCCGCGGCCCGGTCTGTGACCAGGCCGTAATGGGTGATATTCATTTTTTTATTTATATTTAAGGAGATGTCATACAGCACTTGGCAAATCGGAGGCAGTCAGGTTTGATTCAAGAAAGAGGACTTGTCCAGTTTCTTGAATCAAGAGCCCCTCAGTACATCAAGGAACCTCCCTTGAAGGATTTATTTTTCTAAGATTTTTTTTTTTTTTTTCAACAAGTCGGCTGTCTCCCACCAAGGCAGGGTGACCCAAAAAGAAAGAAAATCCCCAAAAAGAAAATACTATCATCATCATTCAACACTTTCACCTCACTCACACATAATCACTGTTTTTGCAGAGGTGCCCAGAATACAACAGTTTAGAAGTACATACGTATAAAAATACACAATATATCCCTTCAAACTGCCAATATCCCAAACCCCTCCTCTAGAGTGCAGGCATTGTACTTCCCATTTCCAGGACTCGAGTCCGGTTATATAAAATAACCGGTTTCCCTGAATCCCTTCACTAAATATTACCCTGCTCACACTCCAACAGCTCGTCAGGTCCCAGATACCATTTGTCTCCATTCACTATTTAACACGCTCGCGCATGCTTGCTGGAAGTCCAAACCCCTCACCCACACCTCCTTTACCCCCTCCCTCCAACCTTTTAAAACAAGGACGACCCCTACCCCGCCTTCCTTCCCCTACAGATTTATACGCTCTCCATGTCATTCTACTTTGATCCATTCTCTCTAAATGACAAAACCACCTATTATTGACAATTTTCTTCTTATTCTTTTTAGTAATTATTACAGGAAAAGGGGCTACTAGCCCATTGTTCCCGGCATTTTAGTTGACTTTTACAACATGCATGGCTTACGGAGGAAAGATTCTTATTCCACTTCCCCATGGATATAAAAGGAAAAGTAATACCTGGAGTTTACCTGGAGAGAGTTCCGGGGGTCAACGCCCCCGCGGCCCGGTCTGTGACCAGGCCTCCTGGTGGATCAGAGCCTGATCAACCAGGCTGTTGCTGCTGGCTGCACGCAAATCAACGTACGAGCCACAGCCCGGCTGATCAGGAACTGACTTTAGGTGCTTGTCCAGTGCCAGCTTGAAGACTGCCAGGGGTCTGTTGGTAATCCCCCTTATGTGTGCTGGGAGGCAGTTGAACAGTCTCGGGCCCCTGACACTTATTGTATGGTCTCTTAACGTGCTAGTGACACCCCTGCTTTTCATTGGGGGGATGGTGCATCGTCTGCCAAGTCTTTTGCTTTCGTAGTGAGTGATTTTCGTGTGCAAGTTCGGTACTAGTCCCTCTAGGATTTTCCAGGTGTATATAATCATGTATCTCTCCCTCCTGCATTCCAGGGAATACAGGTTTAGGAACCTCAAGCGCTCCCAGTAATTGAGGTGTTTTATCTCCGTTATGCGCGCCGTGAAAGTTCTCTGTACATTTTCTAGGTCGGCAATTTCACCTGCCTTGAAAGGTGCTGTTAGTGTGCAGCAATATTCCAGCCTAGATAGAACAAGTGACCTGAAGAGTGTCATCATGGGCTTGGCCTCCCTAGTTTTGAAGGTTCTCATTATCCATCCTGTCATTTTTCTAGCAGATGCGATTGATACAATGTTATGGTCCTTGAAGGTGAGATCCTCCGACATGATCACTCCCAGGTCTTTGACGTTGGTGTTTCGCTCTATTTTGTGGCCAGAATTTGTTTTGTACTCTGATGAAGATTTAATTTCCTCATGTTTACCATATCTGAGTAATTGAAATTTCTCATCGTTGAACTTCATATTGTTTTCTGCAGCCCACTGAAAGATTTGGTTGATGTCCGTCTGGAGCCTTGCAGTGTCTGCAATGGAAGACACTGTCATGCAGATTCGGGTGTCATCTGCAAAGGAAGACACGGTGCTGTGGCTGACATCCTTGTCTATGTCGGATATGAGGATGAGGAACAAGATGGGAGCGAGTTACTGTGCCTTGTGGAACAGAGCTTTTCACCGTAGCTGCCTCGGACTTTACTCTGTTGACGACTACTCTCTGTGTTCTGTTAGTGAGGAAATTATAGATCCATCGACCGACTTTTCCTGTTATTCCTTTAGCACGCATTTTGTGCGCTATTATGCCATGGTCACACTTGTCGAAGGCTTTTGCAAAGTCTGTATATATTACATCTGCATTCTTTTTGTCTTCTAGTGCATTTAGGACCTTGTCGTAGTGATCCAATAGTTGAGACAGACAGGAGCGACCTGTTCTAAACCCATGTTGCCCTGGGTTGTGTAACTGATGGGTTTCTAGATGGGTGGTGATCTTGCTTCTTAGGACCCTTTCAAAGATTTTTATGATATGGGATGTTAGTGCTATTGGTCTGTAGTTCTTTGCTGTTGCTTTACTGCCCCCTTTGTGGAGTGGGGCTATGTCTGTTGTTTTAATAAGAACAAGAACTAAAATAAAATCAAAGAAAACTCAGATGAGTGTGTATAAAGATTATCCAATGTTTATTTGGTAACCAGACTTATTTTATCTATATGTATGATAACTTTTTTTTAACACATCTTTCTTACTTGTTGCATGTCATCTTGAACAAAGTGCAATAATTTTTTGATCATGTTCTTTTGCCTAATATTTTATCTGTAAACTGAATTATCTGTGTACTGCATAAAAGAATTAGAATTTTGAATTTCCAGATGAGGCATAAATTATCAAAATTATATTTAGAGGATGGAAAATTGGTGTGGAATGGTAATGCTGTGGATGGCAACACCAATATTCAAAAATTTTATGAGGACTTGCCTACAAGTATTCACTCCATCACGTGTCTAGACAGTCAGCCCGTTCGAGGTAAGTATAAAGTTGCATTGTTTAGCAGTCATTTATTATTTGCAGATTTGAAAGTGAAACAAGCAGCAGGCATAGCATTTACAAAACTGACTAATATTTTATCCCATAAAATATGTTGAGATACTGTAATAGGATTTATAACAATTTACTCATGCCATAAGTTGTGTGTCCAATGTGCTGATAAATGTGGCTGAGTAACTCAATGATTATAAATTTGGAACCTGCTGTATATTCATGGGAAAGAGCTAAACCCTTAATGGTTATATAGTAGCTGTGGAATGAGAGGTAATCAGGTTTGAACCAAAGAAAGGTAGGGTAGATCTTTCTTTGATTCAAAAAATTTTCACCAGCATCAAGGTGCACCTCCCTTGAAGGGTTGCATCATGAAGATCATGGTAATGAACATTATTATAATAAAAAATAAGCACAAAACCCACTAGGCTCATATAGCACTGTTGGCAATGAACAAAGTAATAAATGAAGTGGGTATTGCAGCACTTCTGTAAGGAAGACACTGAATACATAAAAACTCCAAAAATCACTATGATGGCTAACCTCTAGCTTGGTGAGGTAAGCTATGAGAGTAAGTTAGGGTGCATCTTGTTCCTATAGCCCAGTGGAATTAGAGATAAGATTTAAAAGATGTTGCAAAAATTCTAAGGATGGAAACTTATATCTAGCTCTATAATGTAAATGTTAATTCAAGAAAGTAGATTATTATTATTATTATAATCAAGGGGAAGCGCTAAACCCGGAGGATTATACAGCGCCTGGGGGGGATGTGGAAGGCATTCAGGCTTAATTCGGGGAACTGGAGCACAGATCCAATTCCCTAAATCAAGAGCCCCTCACCAACATCAAGGAACCTTCCTTGAGGGGTCAAGAAAGTAGAATAGGGTCCATGTTTTAATTAGAAAGAAAAAGATTCATGGATTTTTTTCCCCAGTCTGCATGTTCAGAAGCCTGTCATTCTTGTCATTGCATTTCTCATCATTATATGTACTCTCACTTTTTCAGAGGAGGCCGTTGGTCAGCAGTCAACTATTCAGGTGACTACAGCTGGCTTTGTTACATTGAAAGATCGCAAGTACCCATTCAACCAGTCATTTCTGATTACAGCAAAAGGAGATAAATGGAAAGTAGTCTCAGATGTGTTTAGATTTCAAGCAGTTGCCTAACAGAAAAGGGACAGAATTTAAGGTCACTTTATAATTATTTTGTATCAAAATTAAATAATTTTTTCATAATTTTTTTTAATTAATCCTCTTTATGTCTCTGGGGGGTTATAAATGAGACAGCATGGCACAGGGGTGGGCAAACTTTTTCTGTACTTGTCTGATAATGCTTTTGTAACAGTTCGTGTTTTCAGCAGAGAAAAATGAACAACATTTTGCTTATTCAGCTGCATATACATGAGTACACAAGACTTGATCTTGGTAGGCCGCATGAAAACCTTATGCGGCCCACGGGCCATAGTTTGCCCACCCCTGGCATAGCAGAATTTAAGTAGTGAAAACAGATGAAATAAATTTATAGCATTATTTGCCAACAATGAAGCATATTAATTTTAAAGAATATTTTCTGAGAATAAGTTAAAAAATATCAGGGTGAAGAATAATGATGCTAGAGGTGTCAAGAATGTTGAAAAATTACTTTATTCCTGCAGTAAAGATGCATTTGCCTAGAAGAACCTTTTATTAAAGGATTTTAGTCTTGGTGCAGAACTGTATGACCCTTGTGGGTTTAGCACTTGGTTTTCATTACAATAATTTTAGTCTTGGTAATTCCTGTACAACTCCTCTAGTCATGGTCTTTGGACCTAAATGTGAAGGTTGTGTTTCCACAACCCAATACATCTTCATTACATTTACTGGACTGATGCCATGAAGCATACAGAAATAATGGAGAAATTAATTGTAGCAAATCTACAACTGGGACTGGCATGCTGAGTTCTGTACACGAGTGGTTCAGCGAACCGGCATTAAAGATACCCAAGTGTTGCATGTATCTTATTGTATCATGCCGAGTTGTGCTGTAAATTTCATATTGCAAATGCACCAATGGTACAAAAGGGTGACATGGGATGAAGTGCCCCAATCATCCATTAATGCACATTCTGATCATTTATGGTCTCTGGTGAATAATTGCTCTGCTTTTCACACTACAGCAGAGAGTCAAGTCAAAGAAACTGTGGCTCTGGCAAGGACAAAGCTGAGGTATTTGAGGATACATTTTAAATGAATTGTTTGAAAAGCATGATTTTAAACAACTGAACAATTGCTGGAGATGCTTAATTCTTAGTTACAAGAGGTATATAAGAGGAACGACCTAAAAATTAGCTAACACTGAAGGAGTTATGTGAGAAATTCCACATTATTGGTAAAACTGCAGAACATTTGATTGAAAATTATGACAAACGTCTAAGTATTGGTCTGAAGAGTATTCTGGAACAAGCAATGGTTCCTTATCAACTGCATAACATTTTTTATGGTTAAAAAAGAAAACCACTCAAGGGAGGTTCCTTGATGCATGGGAGGGGCTCTTGACCCTAGGAATTGGACCTGTGCTCCAATTCCTTTAATCGAACCTGAATGCCTCTTATTTCCCCAGCCTCTGAATGACCCATATGGGTTTAGCACTCCCCCCTGAATGTAATAAAAATTCATAGTAACAAGCTAAACCAGACCACAAATGCATAATTGAATACATAGGCATCATAATACAACCATCAACTACTGACGACTCAGTTCACGTGAACCACTGCCGTAACTCTCACCATGTTCTTCCATTTCAAGAAGAAAGCACTACCAGAATGTAAATTATACTGTAAAGTAGTAATTTTTACCTAGTACAATAGCATTTTCTTTTTTTTGGGGGGGGGGGAGGGGGGGGAAGAGATATGGAGGAGTCTAGAACCACCATTTTTACCATATATTCATTTCATGCAATGTGCTTTTAATTACACACTGATTTTCAGGAACATAACATGAGCAGTATTGTAATCCCAGGTGCTGTACAACCCTTACGAGTTTTGAACTTCTCCATGAATAGTAATCTTGAGAGAAAATCTCGTGAGAGAAAAACAAGGAAGAATGGTAATCGGTATATTTCAACCTACAGCTGAAACCTCATTCTTCCTCTCTTTTCACTCGTATGGAAGATTTGTAGTGATCTGTGCTCATTACACTTTATTGCACCTGCAGTAATCTTTATTTAGTTCAATATTTCTAAATGAATAGCAGTACGATTCTGGATAAGGATGTATAATCCAAGCAATAAAAAATAATAAGTATTTAAATTTTTTTATAAATATACAATACAAGAACTCTATAAATTATAACAATTCTTCTTCATCAGTGGACACCAGCTCCAACAAAAGCTTTATAGTATATCATCACATTTCCATTACTCTTATTAAGAACTTCACTATTGCACATTTACTTAATTTAGCAGTGACTTAATCTTACTGTAGCTAAAAGTGCATAAATAGTGGTGGGAGAGGGCCGACTTGTTGAAAAAAAAAAAATTATGCAAAGTGAGTATTGAAATATTCAGCCATACCTTGTCTTTCCTCATTTGTCACTCATTCTTTACCCGAGTGATCACTATAAAATTCATCATCTGTAATACACTCAAACACATCACCCTCCTCTCTCTCACTTGCCAGAGATTCATTTTCCATCTGAGATTCGTCCTCATGGCCTTCTTCATTTGTAAGCAAGCTGCTCTTCACTTGCTGCTGTTTTCTTCCTTTGGTGATCCCTACAACAACAGTGCTTCCCAATACTACTAAAACAGAGAAGACTGCACCAAGAATCACAAGAATTTTTTGAATCTCCACATATAAGGCATTGCCAGGAGAGCACACTGCATCTTCCAAGGCAAAGGGCGAAGTAATATTTGTCTTCAAATAAAATGTGCCGTTCATTCTGGAAAAAAAAAGAGAAAGATTTATTACCCTAGTTTAAAGGTACACTACAGAACATGCATACTGATGTCTAGAAATATCTATTGCAAGTGAAAAAGCCATTCATGAATTGCAGAGAATGAAAGGATTAGTAACACTAATAAATGAAAAGCTAGTTTTTTTTTTTCCAACATGCCAGCAGTCTCCCACTGAGGCAGGGTGACCCAAATAAGAAAGAAACACTTTCACCATCATTCACACATAATCAACATCTTTGCAAAGGTGCCCAGATGTGACAGTTTCGATGTCACTCCAAACAGCCAATATCCCAAACCTTTCCTTTAAAATGCAGGCATTGTACTTCCCACCTCCAAGACTCAAGTCTGCCTAACTAGCTATGTGAATAAAAACAAATATTGAAATTTTATTGGTAGAAATTCAGAACAAATATGAAAGATTTATTATATTTACAACATACCACATAACACATGAGAGACAGGGAATTATATGAAGCTAAATGAAGAACTGCACATTATACTAAGGCAGATGTTGAGAAAAAGCGACTTTAGAAGGCTAAAATCATTCTAATACAGATTTAAATATAAATTAATACATTGGATAGTATCACTGTATGACCCTAGTAAGTTTAGCACTTCTTTTTGATTTTAATAATAACAATGATACACTGGATAACCAATGAAGTTGGAATGGTAATATATGGTTTCTCAAATTCCTCAAGGTAGTGACTGATTTCTTTATGCATCACAAAATTAGACTGGGAACAGATAAGAGATGGTGACACATCAACATAAGACCTAGTATTGATTAGAAAAGAGAATATACAAATAACCGGCACATAGGAAACAGAAGCTTATGATTACGTTTCAGTCTGAAGTGAACCAAAACATCGTCATAAGCTTCTCTCTCCTATGTGCGGGTTATTTGTGTACTGTTCTAGTCACAGTATTGTGCCTTTTTGGTCTTCAGAAAAGAGAATGATAAAGGAACTAATTTTTTTCAACAAACTGGCCACATCCCACTGAGGTAGGTGGCCCAAGAGGAAAACTGCAAGTTTCTCCTTTTAAATTTAGTAATATATGCAGGACAAGGGGTTATTAGCCCCTTGCTCTTGGTAATTTTAGTCGCCTCTTACGACATGCATGGCTTACAGAGGAAGAATTCTTTTCCACTTCCCCATGGAGAATGCACAGTATAAACATGTGTTTATTATGAAAAGCAATACACCTTCATAACTCAAATTTTACAAACATTACCTGGTGTTGACAAAGAAGCCCATATATTGAGCATCATCCCCACATGAGCAGTTTCCCTTTTTATATGTTGCCCAGTCTGAGCAATTTCTTGCTAAGAAATACGTTTTGTCAATCCCATAGTCAAAGCTTTCTGCATAATATTTATAAGCCATCATATGGTCACAACCATAATCACCTGTAACTGATATAATCATGTATTAAAGTTAAAAGCAATGTTATAATATACACAGTTTTTAAAGGAAAAAAAATAAATTTTATTAACAAATGTGTAATAATTGTAAATTAAAGAGAAACAGTATGACTCCAATATTTGTGTAGGAATGAGCAATATAAATAAGTCCAGGGTATCCACACACACTACATCTCAGTATGCTATTGTCATATACAGGAGGGCCCCATTATACAGCAGGTTAGGTTCCGGGCTACTGCTTACCATTAGCTTGTTGACATGCAGGTTGGTGCTCACCCCCATTAGGCCAAAAATCACTGTGGCCAAGGTTTTCATTGAGACCATAACAATCCTGCAAATATCAGGAGAAAATTGGGAGACAACACAAAATGCAAAAGGCAATGAAACACCTTAAAAGAAAAGTACATAAAGTGTTAGAATATATTTTTTTTATTAACATATCAGCCATTTCCCACCGAGACAGGGTGATCCAAAAAAGAAGAAACAACCCCATGATCAAATGGGAACATCACTAAGCGAGAATGGTCATCCTTTAATACATTTCTTTAGTTAATTTACATCTTTTACAGTAATAGGGATATTAGTAAATCATTTATAGATGTTACAGTAATAATAATAATGATGCGACAGAACACAAGAAGAAAGGCAGAAACTGAGAGAGATGGTACAAAAGCGAAAGGAGGAAAGAGAGGGGATGGAGAAGACAGACAGGAGATCCCAGACACAGGAAGAAGATCAAATACAGCCTCCCTCATAACTTCCTATAGAAGCCTCCCAACCAGGTCAACCAGAATGCAACCAAGCACTCTAAACCAAAACACCCATGCCACATCCAATGCCCCCACCCACTGCATTACAAACTCCACCCCCACAGCAACCACCCATAGTTCCTTATCAGGTCTCCCACTTCCCCAACCCCAATACACCTCCCAGACCACAGTCTTAGAGAAGAAGTTGAAGGTGTGGTATACAAATGCAGATGGAATAACAAATAAGTATGAGGAGTGGCACGAAAGAATCAAGGAGACATCCCCAGACATAATAGCACTCACAGAAACAAAACTCACCAGAATGATAACAGATTCAATCTTTCCATACAGATATCAAATCTTCACGAAAGACAGAGGGAGGAGAGGGGGAGGAGGAGTTGCACTGCTCATTAAAAACCAGTGGGGTTTTGAGAAAATGGAAGGAATGGATGGCACGGGCAAAAGGGACTACTTAGTAGGAACAATCCAGTCTGAGGGACATAAGATGATAATTGCAGTAATGTATAACCCACCACAGAACTGCAGGAGGCCAAGTCAATCACAAGGAGATTGACTGGGAAAACCTGGAGCCCCATGGGGGTCCCGAAACATTGAGAGCCAAGATGATGGATGTGGTACTGGAAAACCTCATGCATCAACATGTTAGAGACACTACCAGAGAGAGAGGAGAGGATGAACCAGCAAGACTGGACCTTGTATTCACCTTGAGTAGTTCGGACATTGAGGACATCATGTATGAAAGGCCCCTGGGAGCTAGTGATCATGTGGTTCTGTGCTTCGACTACATAGTTGAGCTCCAAGTGGAGAGAGTAGCAGGAATAGGGTGGGAAAAACCAAACTACAAAAGGGGGAACTACTCAGGCATGAGGAACTTCCTTCAAGACATTCAGTGGGAGAGGGAACTGACAGGAAAACCAGTACAAGAAATGATGGACTATGTGGCAACAAAATGCAAGGAGGCAGAGGAGAGGTTTGTTCCCATGGGAAATAGAAATAATGGGAAGAACAGAACGAGTCCTTGGTTCACCTAAAGGTGTAGGGAGGCAAAAACTAGATGTACTAGAAAATGGAAAAGGTACAGAAGACAGAGAACTCAGGAAAATAAAGAGACTAGCCGAAGAGCCAGAAACGAATATGCACAGATAAGAAGGGAGGCTCAGCGACAATACTAAAATGACATAGCATCGAAAGTCAAGACTGACTCGAAGCTGTTGTACAGCCACATCAGGAGGAAAACAACAGTCAAGGACCAGGTAATCAGACTGAGGAAGGGTGATGGGGAATTCACAAGAAACGACCGAGAGGTATGTCAGGAGCTCAACACGAGATTTAAAAAAGTATTTACAGTGGAAACCAGTAGGACTCCAGGAAATCAGAACAGGGGGGTACACCAGCAAGTGCTGGATGAGGTACATATAACCAAGGAGGAGGTGAAGAAGCTGCTATGCGAACTTGACACCTCAAAGGCGGTGGGACCAGACAACATCTCTCCATGGGTCCTTAAAGAGGGAGCAGAGATATTGTGTGTGCCATTAACAAAGATCTTCAACACATCATTTGAAACTGGGCAACTGACTGAGGTATGGAAGATGGCAAATGTAGTCCCAATTTTTAAAAAGGGAGACAGACATGAGGCACTAAACTACAGACCTGTATCACTAACGTGTATAGTATGCAAGGTCATGGAGAAGATCATCAGGAGGAGAGTGGTGGAGCACCTGGAAAGAAACAAGTGTATAATTGACAACCAGCACAGTTTCAGGGAAGGAAAATCCTGTGTCACAAACCTACTAGAGTTTTATGACAAGGTGACAGAAGTAAGACAAGAGAGAGAGGGGTGGATCGACTGCATTTTTTTGGACTGCAAGAAGGCCTTCGACACAGTTCCTCACAAGAGGTTACTGCAAAAGCTAGAGGATCAGGCACACATAACAGGAAAGGCACTGCAATGGATCAGAGAATACCTGACAGGGAGGCAACAACGAGTCATGGTACGCGACGAGGTGTCAGAGTGGGCGCCTGTGACAATTATTATTATTATTATAATCAAGGGGGAAGCGCTAAACCCGGAGGATTATACAGCGCCTGGGGGGGGGATGTGGAAGGCATTCAGGCTTAATTCGGGGAACTGGAGCACAGATCCAATTCCCTAAATCAAGAGCCCCTCACCAACATCAAGGAACCTTCCTTGAGGGGCGCCTGTGACAAGCGGGGTTCCACAGGGGGTCAGTCCTAGGACCTGTGCTGTTCTTGGTATATGTGAACAACATAACGGAAGGGATAGACTCAGAAGTGTCCTTGTTTGCAGATGATGTGAAGTTAATGAGAAGAATCAAATCGGATGAGGATCAGGCAGGATTACAAAGTGACCTGGACAGGCTACAAGCCTGGTCCAGCAACTGGCTCCTTGAGTTTAACCCTGCCAAGTGCAAAGTCATGAAGATTGGGGAAGGGCAAAGAAGACCGCAGACACAATATAGTTTAGATGGCCAAAGACTGCAAACCTCACTCAAGAAAAAAGATCTGGGGGTGAGTACAACACAGAGCATATCTCCTGAGGCGCACATCAATCGGATAACTGCTGCAGCATACGGGCGCCTGGCAAGCCTACGGATAGCGTTCCAAACCTCAGTAAGGATTCGTTCAAGACTCTGTATACCATTTACGTCAGGCCCATACTGGAGTATGAAGCACCAGTTTGGAATCCACACCTAGTCAAGCACGTCAAGAAATTAGAGAAAGTGCAAAGGTTTGCAACAAGACTAGTCCCAGAGCTACGGGGATTGTTGCAGCGCTGTATAGTCCTTGTGGCTTAGCGCTTCTTTTTTATTATAATAATACAGGGATTGTCTTACGAAGAAAGGTTGAGGGAAATCGGCCTGACGACACTGGAGGACAGGAGGGTCAGGGGAGACATGATAACGACATATAAAATACTGCGCGGAATAGACAAATTCAAATTCAAAGTTTATTCTCTATAAGGATTACAATGCTGAGTTTACAGAATTTGGTTATTGTGTGGTTTATATGTAGTAAAATAATAATTACAGAGTGTACCACTAGAACACCTAGCATGGCTAGGCATTTCGGGCAGACTTAAATTAAATCTTAAGTTTAAAATATTACAAAATTATGAGGTAAGTTGGTATTATCGCTAAGTGACTAAATACTAGTTTGTGAGTTTAGCAATGTGAATGCTTTTGTTTTGGCACTATACATAGTTTCAGTATTGGAGTATCACAGGCCAACTTATGACTAGTTAAGATTCATTATTTTGAGATTGAGATTGATATTTCTGTTTATGGTCAAATGGGTGAGCGAGTGTAAGTGTTAACCACCAGGTGGTATTCGTGTAATTAGTTGACAGGGTGTATCAGGGAGATAAGATGTTTTCTGATGGTAGTTTTGAAGGTGATGAATGCGTCTGCAGTTTTAGAATTTTCAGGTAGGGTGTTCCAGATTTTAGGGCCTTTGACATACAATGAATTTTTGTAAAGGTTTAGTCTGACACGGGGAATGTCATAGAGATGTTTGTGTCTGGTGTTGTGCCTGTGGGTTCTGTCGCAACTATCAAGAAAGTGTTTTAGGTCAAGGTTAATATTGGAATTTAAGGTCCTGTAGATGTAGATTGCACAGTAGTAAGTGTGGATGTACTGAACAGGGAGTAAGTTTAGATCTATGAAGAGTGGGGGGGTGTGTTGCCAGGGATGGGATTTAGTGATTGTTCTTACTGCGGCTTTTTGTTGGGTTATTATTGGCTTTAGGTGTGTTGCTGCAGTTGAACCCCAAGCACAGATAGCATAGGTGAGGTATGGATATATAAGTGAATGGTATAGTGCGAGAAGGGCAGTTTGCGGCACGTAGTATCGTATCTTGGAGAGGATCCCATTATTATTATAATCAAAAAGAAGAGCTAAGCCACAAGGGCTATACAGCGCTGCAGGGCAGGAAGGAAGCGAGGGCATCAGGTGGCAAAAGGGAGGTGGATGAGTAATAGGTTACGGATAACAGCGGAGCAGTGGATGGTGAAAGGGTAAAGGGCAGCAAGAGACTGAGCTAGAAAGGGCTGAGGGGAGTGCGTAAGGTATCATCATCAGAGTTTGTGGAGTAAATCAGTCATTGTCAAGAAGTCAATGAGAGAGTCAGAGCTTACAAGGAAGGTCATCAGCAAGAAGGGAAGGTAAAGAGCGAGTAGTAGAACGAAGACGGGGCGTGGAGGTAAATTCTGCGTGGGGGGCCCATTTTGTTGAAAGAGCGGGCAGTCTCAAACAGAATGTGGCTAATCGATACCTGGAACTTGACACTGCCACAACAGAGAGGGTACAGGGTGCCTCTCCATGTGAATACCCCTGATAAGAACAAGTGTGGCCAATGTCGAAGACGGGAGAGAAGAGGTCTCCCAAACAAGGCCCTGATGAACAAGAAAGAACGCCAGTAACCAAGGCTCGGTTTAATAGAATGACAGTTTATGTTACCTAGTAGAGTTTGACCAAACGTTGTTGCCAATGGGCGCGAAGGTGGGAGCTATTGTAGCAAATAGTCCCGAAATGGAACCCCTACA